TCCGTTGTATACAATGAGTTTGCAGTCGCTGGATGAGACGCTAACTGCCAGGAATAAACCCTACTGGAGCCGGACCATAGTTTCTCAGATTTCTGCTTTTAAGTGCCCGGGGAAAAAAAAAAAGAAGAAAAAAAAAAGAAAGGAGAGGGAGCCAAGTCCATCTTAGCAGAAACGGGAGGAATTGGTGCCAAATCGCTGGCTGGCAGCTCGCGGCAGCAGGTGGGACTGGGCAGGCTCTGGGCTGGCAGCGGGGTCGGGGAGGGGGAAGGGGGACGGCGGCCCGGGGAGCTGCAGAGCTCAGCCTTCGGCCAGCACGTTATTTTCCTGAAAGGCCTCCAAGTCGCAAAAAAAAAAAAAAAAAAAAAAAAAGGAGTGAAAAAAGGGATTAACAAAAAATTAATTCTCTCTATACACACATATATCATAGCCCAAACCCGCTCCAAGTGCCGGATTTCGAAGTTAGGGGGTCACAAGCTGTTTCTCTTTGATGCGTCTAGATTATACGCTTGATTTCTGGGTGAATAGAGCAGGACGATGCCAAGGGGGGGCAGCTCCAGCGTTCCTTAATACTTCTCTTTCTCCCTCCCCAACTCCAGCCACCTCCCAGGGACCTGAGTCCCTGCGGTGCACGTCCACCCCCGGTATAGAAATCTCCCTTTTCGGGGACTTTGTGCATCGCTGCGGGGACCATCCCATCCGCTCCTGGCTGCTAACTCATCTCCCAGCCTTGTTAGCGTGCAGGAATTCGGAAGCAGCTTGCCAGCGCCAGCAAGACACCCGCGCTCTGACATTAAAAGTTACCTCCACGGCAGAAGATTTTTGATTGGGGTTGTGGGGGGTTTTTTTCACCCCCCCCTCTCCCCCTCCGCTTGTTGTTGGTGCGTTGCAATTTTTTAAGCAGAAAAATCCCCTTCCCCGAACAGATGCAAGGTGCCTAATTGGGTGCTAATTGTTCCCATCACCGCATGCCTACCAGAAGTCCAAGCCCTGCGCTTGGTAATAACTCACCACCCATCAAAGCGAACAGTATCAGGCTCTTGAATATTTCATGCAGAAAATGTCCGAGATGCGGAGATTACTCAAGATGTGTTTTTTTTGTTTTGGTTTTTTTTTTTTTTTCACAGGCTATTTACAGGGACGAAGGAAAAATGGCTTTAATAGACACCAGCGTGGCAAGGCGGCTGGGAAAGGCGCCTCTGCCCCCCCCCCGCAGAGCGGTGGATGTTCAAGAAGCTGCGACAACACGCAAAAAACTCAGCGAGACATGAAAAACCCGCGGGCCCGTTGGGCATCCTCCTCCCAGCCCTCGCTCTGCCTGCGCGTCCTGCTGGAGACGAATGCTTCCGAAGCCACGAGAGGCTGAGATTTTAAAATTAAAAATAAATAAATAAATAAATGAAAAAATTAGCCTCGAACGCTAAGAACAGCGGTCAGGTAATTCAAAGAGCCCCAGGAACGGGGATCAGCTAAAGAAATGAGGGATGCTGGAGCAAAGCTCCACTTTTCTGGATGACCCTCTATCAAAGCTGGTAAACAGTTCACGGGGTGGGGGGGGGGCGAAGAAAAAAAGAAAAGATCAATGGAAATATTTGTTTTATCCAGGAAAAGTTATCTGCCACCTCTGGAAACTG